GAAGGAGCAGATTATGGTCAAGAGGCAGACTGAAATTCAGAGGAACTTGGTTCTAGTAAGGGCCAGAACTTAAAAGACCTTCTCCTGCTGCTTGGAGAAAGGCAGAACATTTTGCTTTGATCAGGTCAAGGCTTATCATGTGTGCAATGGACTATTGTTTGGGCTGGCTGACAGATTCCTAAGGTGACCAAGCCTGCCTGTACAGGAGCAGGCATAGCAAGGGGCTTACAAGTACTGCCAGCTCTTAAAGTGACTAATAATCATCATCATTTAAATCAAAAGGTCACTACTAAGCCCAGTATTTTCCATGTTTCCTCTAGTTCTTTTGTCTTCATTACCATGTAATTTGATATTCCACAAGTGTCTACATTTTCTCTCTCTCTCCAAATTAGCATTACTTTGCTGTGTTTTTTCCTTACTAAGCCTATTGTCTTTCTGCCTCCTGAAGTTCTCTTGTACTTTGCAGCCTTTGCAAATCAAAGGTGGCCAGCATAATGGAAACAAAGCCCTAGTGTTGAGTTCACAAGTTTCTTGTTTGTGGGTCCAAGATTATGATATTTTACTAGAAGTGCAACATAATTAATTTGGGAAAAGGGTGGGAGTAAAGCCTTAGTACAGTCTACACACACATGGCACTAAATATTGTCCAGAGAGATGCTCTGGACCACAAGTATATATTTTTTCCTCTTTCAAAGAACGCTGTAATATGAAACCATTTTAAAAATGCAGAAGTACAGGTGAATTTAGGAAATTACCATTTTAAGATGGCATTCACGTTTCAAGTAGTACAGGGCAAAACATCAATTGACATAACAGGCACAGTCTGCTGAAGTTGCTTGAGCTACATTGATTTACACTCTACATTGATCTCATCCTACATAGTAATTAATATTTTCCCCTGCAAATTACTATCACAGAAAGAAATAGAGGCCCCTTGAGGGGAAATAGCTATTTTTAAATCCTGGGGCTTGTTAGATAGATTTTCTGCCTTCAGAAGGAGAAAACCCTACTTGGTTAAAGTTGGGGGGGATGGGAGGTAGGGGGCATGGTTTGGTTTGGGTCTTTTTTTCTTTCTTCTTTTTTAAATGACACAACTTAGTGTTTTATAGGAAAGCAAGTTGGAGAACATTGATGAGGACTGACTTTATTATGTGGCTGTTAGAATTTACATTTATTTTGGACAGGCAATAGCAACAGTGATGCTCAGGTACTTGGCAAACCCCATGTTTCATGAATGGCAATTTCTTGCACAGTCAGACATCACAGGAATTAAACACATCCATGAAGATGCTTTGAAGTTTGCTTTGGACATAAACACCATAGATTCTGAGTGGATATTATCAGTCTCCAGATCTGAATCTGAAAGAAAGGGCCACAACCTTTTCACCAGATGGAGTTGGCAATTCAGGTGTAGAAAATCCAGGAGCACCCCAAAAATGCAAACTTGAGTGACAAGGGAGGCTAAACCCAATTCCCCCTCCCCCATGTCAAGCAGTCTGCCCACCAATGTCTCTGTCTTCCCTAGATTTAGTTTCAATTGGTTCACCTGCATCCCATCCCCTGCAGCTGGGCACTGGGGAAGTGAAAGTACCCTGGGGCTTGGTTGGAGGAAAATATATATAGCTGGGTGTCATCAGCATATTGATGGCACCCCACTTTAAATCTCTCACAGTCTTGCACAGAGGCCTCATCCACACATTGAGCGGGGGGATGGACAAGAAGATGGAGCCTTGGAGAACCCCACAGAAAAGGTGACAAGGGGATGAAGAGCATTCACTCAGCACTACCATCTGACACTTCCCCGCTAGGAGAGAATATAACCAATTTAGAGTGGTGCCATGAATACCCACTGGGTCATGTAAATGCTTTATCAGTACCTCATGGTCAACTGGATGGTCAATTGGTTTCTGTGCATCAAGAGCTGCTGAAAAATTTAATAATATCAGCAGGCACAATTTTCCCTGTCGATCTCCAGCAACAATCATCAGCCAAGGCCGTAAGCACAGTCCCTGCCCTATATTAAGTTCAAAAGCCTGATGGGCATAGGTCCTGGAAACTGATGGCATCTAGATACACCTGAAGCTGCCAGATAACTACTCATTCAGTGACCTTCCCTCAAAAAAGCAAGATTGAAGACGGGGTGATAACTAGCTGGGGAGTTGGAGTCAAGCAATAATTTCTTGAGTCAGGGCTAGACAATTGCAGACATAAGAATTTCAAGCACCCTGCCCTCCCAGAGGGAGGCATTGACCACCACCACCAGCAGTCTCTCCCATACAAGGCAGGACAGACATGGGTCCAGCTCACAAAGGATCACCCTTATCCAGATTTCTGGTTTGAGACTTTTTTTTTTTTTATGTTGATATTTCTAGTTAAGTGGCACGCAATCTCTGGCTTTCAGGCCAGATGCAGTTCACAAAGCCAGTGTGAACAGCCCCTCACCAGCATATCAACACAGGTGAACAAGCCTGCTGCTCCTCCCCTTTTGCCCCCTGCCTTTGTCACTGATTCGAGATTATGAGCATCAACAGTGTTCACCTGCATTGACATGATGGTGAGCTCAGAGCTTTCATGCAACTCCAGAGCCCAAGAGCTGAGCACACCATTCACTTTCCCTTCCTTCTCCCAGGCTGAATTCATCAGCAGGAGAAAAAAAAAAAAAAAGGATGAGTATCCGTGGCAGCAGAGCTCAGCTCCTGGGCTCCAGAGCTGCATGAAAGCTCTGAGCTCACTGGCACATCAGCACAAGCTGTGCCTGAAACCACAGCTTTTTTGTAGCTCCAGATCCCACAAGTTGAGCATTGCTGCCATTCACCTCCTCTCCCACTCCCTCCACCCCCAAATTCAGGAGTGAAGGAAAGAAAGACCAAGCAGCAGCAGTGGCAGTGCTAAGCTCCTAGGCTCTGAAGTTGCACAAAAGGTGTGGCTAAAAATGGATTGGCAGTAGGTGGGTGGATGACAGCAAGACTCAGCTCCTGGGCTCTGGAGCTGAATGAAAAAACTTTGGCAGCTGCAAGGGGAAAGACAGTGGAGACCTGTCCTTGGCAGCCCCACACAGGTACAGGAGCACTGTACAGAGGAAGCTCCACGATGGAACTGGAGGAAAGGGACTAGAAACAATGACTGTAGATAACACAAAAGTTGAGACTGTGTTACTGCCTCCTAGAGACCACTATAAGCGCCTAAAGAGGTGCATATAGTAAGTTGGTTGAACACAATATAGTACACAACAGGAAAGCTGCTTCTATAAATGAAGAGTTGCAGAAGCCTCTTCACTAAATAGGCATGAAACATTGTGTAGACTTCATCATACCAGCATTGCTGATCATTCCTCTCTGGGAGAAGCCCTGCCTCTTCCCTTATGCTGTCCTGAGAGTGCATAGCCTTGATTACTTTGTCAAGAAAGAGTTGTGATGTGGCACATCTGTTTTTCCACAAGATGATCCACTTCCTCTGCATTACATGAGTCCTCACTTAAATGAGAAATCTGACTTAGGCTTACCCTATTGAGTACTTTCATTTTATGGCTTGTGACTCTTACCTACACCCCGTTCTACTGGGGACAAGAGATTGTTTTAGATCATAATTCCCCATTACTAGCTGAGCAAGGGGAAGAGTATCTTCAAGGAAAAAACATCTTCAAACAGTCGCAGATAACCTACTAACAGTTTAAATATTTTCCCAAAATGCTAAATGAACAAGATTAAATTGCACAGCAGAGTGAATAAAGCAGATTGCCCTCTTGCCTTATATTTCTTCAAATGATGAACAAGCCTGCAGGAGGTTTGCTTTTACATTTTTAATGGGTCCCTGAAAATTAAGTAACCTTTACTTTTCCCCCTTTTTAAAGCATAGAGATTTTTTGCTGTATCATCAAGTGCCTACCGTTTTAATGATGTCACTATCAATTTCATTAAAAATGTCTCAATTGACTTTGCCACAGGAAAACACCTTTGACATAATATTACAGTCATGATTTATTATTAATCTCATTTTCCATCATGCTTCTCTTCAAGTCTCAGTTCCTGAAGCTGGGAGCCTTTTTTAAAGCTTTAATAGCTGTGGAGAAAAACTGGATAACAAGACCTGAGTAAATCCAAAGGCTCAGAAGCCAGCAAACAAATTTGAAAAGTAAAACAAAGATATTGTTAGAGACATGATTTTAAGTCAGTTCCTTAATTCTGAGAAACGAATGATCTCTGAATGCTTGGAGTTGGCATCACTGGAGCTATACATGTGGGTAAATGAAGTGCAAGGTGGAAGAGACACTTTTGACTAGTGCGCAGCCCATACACCCCGCAGGGATATTCTGTGGTCTGCAAGCTCACATAAAAGGCTAAAACACAGTTATAGGACACCGAAGACAACTTCATCCCAAGGAATGAGAGGCTTGCCAAATCATATAAGCAGCTAAATAGTTGGGGGGGGGTTCTCCTGCTTTTAGCCCATAATTAATTCCCTGTTCAAAATGCATCTTAATTTTGAATAAGATTCCACGTACAGATTGTTAGGAACGTATTCAGAGCATAATCAAGCTCCTTCCACATTAAAAATGGAGTCAGCTGCAGGATTCAGATTCATATTCTGAGCATTGAAAACTCAAGCCTCAGCCCCAGCTGGCCAGATGAATACAGTTGCCAGGCAAAGATTTTGAATAGAATTTTGTTTTGGAGACTGAAAGAAATCCAAAGGAGTGTTCCAGTTGTATGCAGAATAATTTCAATTGCCTTCATGATGCTTTGCTTCAAGAATTTGCTACATTTTTAAATAATACTGTTAGATGCATTAATTTCTTTTCAAATAGTTCTCTAATGACCAAAACCAAAAGAAAACATCATCCTGCCCCAGAGCAGATAGTAGAAAGAAGCTGGCTAATGGTGTTGGGGAAAGATTTCTGGAACTAGCAGCTAAACTGTTAAATGCCACAAAACCAACTCGCAAAACTATCTGTTACACATTCATACAAGTTACTGGCAGAACAAAACCAGCACAAATCTCACCATTCCACATGGATTGGATCCTAAGTACCAGGGAGGTCATCTGTTTCTGCAGAAGGAGTTGTAGTTGGTCACTCAAAATACCCAGCCTTTGACACAAATGCAAACCAAAAGCAAGTATACAAATAAACCTAAAGCCTATGATCTTTCTCCAGACTTAAGGGTAATCCAGGCTCTTTGTTTTTCTCTTCTCTTGTACTTTGCTCCAGGATTTGTTTAACCTTCTTTGTAGCTCCATCCCTATTCACTAGTCATCACTTGCAGCTGGCTCCCTGCCTCTAGACTAGGCAGACTATTAGCTGCTAACTACCTGCAGCTGGGCTTCAGTCCCTGGAGGCTTAGCACCTCCTTGCATATATAGTATATTAACCTTTCTGTTAAAAGGCATCTATTTAGTTAGATCAGGGATGTCAAGCTCATCTGGCCCATGGACCAGCCTGCATTCTGGATGCCACATGTCCTGGATCAGGTAGTGTGTGTGCAGCCTCTGGGCTACACAGCCTCAGAGTTGCCACCACTGTGGGGTGCACAGCCCCAAAGCAGCCATGATATGCAGTATGACTCCAAATCAGCAGGAAGTCACTCCAGTGCTCCAGAGCTGTGCTGCATACTATAGCCACTCCACTGCTTCTATATGCAAGTGGGAGTATACACCATATGCAGAACACAGAGCCATCTGTCACGCCCCGTACGCTGCCTGTATGTCCCTCTAAGACCCACAGGCAGCACCTAGAACTGGATGATACAGCTTCATGGACCAGATCTGGCCCATGGACTCTATCTATGACACCCTGGAGTTGGATTGCTAACAATGAGATTACTAAAACTAAAAAAAAAAGTAAAATGATGTACTTGTGAACATTTAGACTATGTATATGCCTCATCTTTTCCACTGAGTGAATGATGAAAAAGATGTTGGTCACTTTCACTTTTATTTTTTCACCTTCAGAATTTAGCAGGCCACTACAGTGCATTAACATTAAGTGGAAAATACTGCAGGGACATGAAAGCCAGTTTTCACTAGAATATTTTCTAAATATAAATGGGAAAATTCTACTGCTTTTGGACTGAGACGCAGATTGCAAATAAAAATGGGGGATATGAGGGGTGTGTTGCTTTTTGATCAGTGTCCCTCGGTAGATGCTTTTATTAAAGGTTTTTCAGTGTCTGACATTTTCAGAAACATCATTTAATTACAATTTCCTGTAAGAAAAACTGTTACAAGGCAAAGCAGCATGCTTCATTATTTTTCCATCAGTTTTGCACATCATCTATCTGATGGAAAAGAATGGAATGCAATTTAAATGAGATATTCCAACATGTTTTCTGGGAACACCACAGGAGTCAAGATATTTGACCTGTTTATTGCTTTCGGGATTTCAGCATATGTCCTGTACAAATGAATTTCTGAAACTGCATGCTCTGGGGGGAAACTGTTGCCTAGATTTATGAAATTTGAATATTCATGAAAGGGAGATGTGAAAGGGGCTACAGAATTTTTTTTTTTTTAAATCATGAAAGTTTAAAATGTATTTGATGTCAAAACCTGAATAACAATTGATTCTGTTTTAATAATATAAAGAGTTATAAAAATAAACTCGCAACTAATCGGAAAGCTGACGATCAGCTCTTGAACAGCACTGGCCACAAGAATAATAGGTTAAAGATTAAGGTGCTTTGCCTAGAAAAATAACAAGAAAAGTTTCATGAGCAACCAAGGGCTTCTGTCCTTAATTTACTACTGGGCAATTCTGTCAGCCTTTTTGGGTAAGTGGTGATATAGATCTAGACCAGGCCAATAAATCCCTGGTAAAATTTACCTTCAAACTCAGATATTTATACTGATTTACATTTGTTTGGAGAAGACAGTTACTGGCCATTTGAACTTATATTGTCATTCAAAACTGAAAACACATTAATGAAAAAAACAATTTTGTCTGCTAGATATCTATGTGTCCTGGGTATCTAGTAGTTAGAATATGACTCTGAGGAATCTGCTTCAGAGATCTTTCACCTCCCAGTACCATAAAATTGTTTGGAGAAAGGAGTGCTTTTATATATAGCTACAAGCAGCTGCTATCCGTGCTGGTGCAGTTTTTGAGTATGTCTATATAGCATCTAGGCTAAGATGGTCCTGAGTGCTTCTCCTCAGCAAACAAGGTCCTTTGGGTGAATCTGATATCTTTTATTACACCAACTTATATAGTTGGAAACAATTTTCTTAGCACGCTTTCAGGTTTAAAAACCCTTCATCGGACTGAAGAAGCATCTCCTCAGCAAGATATCCCAGCCAGGACACATTGCCGCTAAGGTGTAAACTTACTTTCTAAAAACATCTGTAAACTTTGTTTCAAAAGGAAAAGGAAGTTATAGGATCCAAATATTCTGATTTGAATACAAGAGTTTGGACTAGATGATTCTTGAGGTCCCTCCCAACCACATGATTATTGTATCTGGTAATGAACTAGTATGAAGCTCTTCATTTGTCTCTGAAAAATACAGAGAGGACACCTTAATAATGTAGCAGAAAGCCCCCTTTTCCTCTTGCCTGCATTTGCTCTCCCCTCTTTGGATATGTTTCTCTTTTTCTACCTTTTCTTCCTTCCTCTCTCTTTCACTTTAAGATAAGGAATTGTGTTTTAAAATTTGTATGTGTGCATTTTGTATCTCCCCTTGTAGTTTGGTATTTTTATCTATTTGTGTGCCATGGCATTTGTAGCTTATATTTTATACTCCTCACCTTTCAACTTTCAACTAAATGTGTTTAGTTTCATAAGTAAGTTATACATTGTAACAATGTTAACAAGGGCAGGAATCAAACTGCCCTTCTCTGTATCAGGCAGGCCCCTGAAAGAGTGAGTGAATCAGTGACTGAATGTGTAACATGGAAGCAGGCAGCAATTAACACCTGGAAGCTGCAGATCAGCCAACGGAAGAACTCAATAGAAGACAATGTAACAACCGGGAAATCTCTAAACGTCACTGATCAAGGGCTAGAAGCCCTGGCCTGAGTTAATCAACGCCAGGGACCAACTTTTGGGCTGAATATCTCCACATCGACCACTCCCAGAGCCCTATTCAAAATTCATCAACGGACTCCCAAACCTGCATGTACGTGCGGACGACCCCTGGGGCTGACAGATGTCATCCAGTAGCCACCGAGGGGGGGAAGTCCCAGGAAGGTCAATGACCCCTGGATTGGGCAAACGTGAAAACTGGGGAGTCACCAAAGTCTGCCAAAGGACAGATAAAAGGCAGTGAAAAGTGACCCTCAGGGGCGCCCTCTT